CACTTTATAGAACCACCTCTTTTAGGGAACACTGAAAATTGAATGTTAAATGGAAAGGGGACACTGAGAAAAGATCACTAAGGAATAAGGGCGGGGAAAACATTTAGTTGGAAACCACTTTAAACGGGATTATAATGAAGACACTGGGTTAAACGATGTATGGTAACACTTAAAGACCGAGTCACCAGAAGGGGAGAGAATTACAAGCATCGTCACGTAGGAACACAGTGGGTCAAACATCATTTTTTTTCTTTCGTTTTTTTCTCAAGAATAACACCTAACTACCGGTACAAAGATTACACGCAAATTGTTCCGGTAGCTAAGGGAGGGAAATTATGTTAAATAATCTTAAATCGCGGATAGAAAAAAAATCTACAATAATGGACAACAGGAAAAAAAACATTCAAAAATGAAATATACACCATGGGAAGATAAATGACATTCTAGGGATCCTTGATACAAACTATTCCCAACAAGGACCCAAATGATAGAGAACAAAACAAACATACATTAAATACATCGTAGGATTGGACACGACTCTGCCATGTCCAAGTGAACAAAAAATCACATCGAATAATACACTTTTTCATTTCAACCTTGAGAACAAGATGGGGTTTGTGGTTTGTAAAACTCCAGACACCTAATAATGTTCTTCTCTGGGGGACCACTGGGAAATCAACTGGTGAAATGGGTACTTCTTTCGTAAAATAACTGATTTTCAAAAACCTGACATGAGAAAAAAATAAACAGCTGTCATTATGGAATAATTCCAAGAATACTGCTGTCACGAGGGACATTCAATAAAATATTACCAAGAACATATGCCTTTTTATATATAAAAAGATTTCGCCATTCAGGGTAAACATTCGACAAATGGCTGCAGTGGAATACAATCTATGCAGAGTACACTTGTTTACAAGGTAACCTAATCAATGGAAGATGATACATTTCAGAGGTCATTCAACTGCTCAAAAAATCCAAAAACGCGAACCTATGAATCAGGAATTTGTCACAAAAAGACTGGAAGAACACCCTATATAATTTCCTCTTTCTTTTTTCTTAGATGTCAAAACACCAATAGAACTAAAAACTAATTCATATGAGGAAAATAAAATCATTTGCTAAACAAGAAGGACAACTCAAAATCGGTGCAAGCCAACGGTTACCAGCGCTGAACGCAAATGAAATTTAAAATAATGAAAACGTCCCCGGGATACATACAGGTACACTCTCACACACGCACGCACATACTCACACACATATAGACATACATATGTACACACATATATATGTATATATACATATATGTATATATATATATATATATATATATATATATATATATATATATATATATATATATATATATCTGTGTGTGTATGTGTGTATTTATAGATGTATGTATGCATGTATATTGCATGTATAATATGCATATATGTGTGCATATACACATACATATACATACATGCATATATATATATATATATATATATATATATATATATATATATATATATATATATATATATATATATATATATATATATATATATATATATATATTAATATATACAGGTGTGCATGTATGTGTGTGCGTATGCATGTGTGTATACATATAGACACAAACGACCACGATTATTCGAAAGAGAAAGACCCGTTGGCTTTGCAGTGCGGCCGCGAAAGGCGTTCACCGGCACCGAGAATCTACGAGGAAACACAGGAACAAAGGAGCCGCTGCTCCACCTCAGCAACGCCGGAGCCAAATGAAATCGGGGACGCGGGATAGAAACGCCGACGAGGGCGACGGGAAGCCAGCGCGGATGTCGAAGGCAAACTAACGACGCTGGCCCTCAAAGGGAAGAAAGAAAAGGGTCCTGAAACGAAGCGGCAGCTCGTGGGAGAGCCTCCGGGAGTGGAGAAACACGGAGCCCGGGTTGGGCGCCGCCGCTGGCACTCCGCTGGGCCAGGGCGCGCGCGGGGGCGGGGAGGGGGGTAGGGGGAAGGGCCGAGGCTTCTTGCCTTGCCCTTCAGCTGATTCGCAGGAGAGGGAACGCCGATGCACAGGAACAAATGGCGTCTTTCGGAGGAAGTGTGAACTTGCAATAATTTTGAGAGAAATAAATGTATATATACTGTATGAGTTTATGTATGAATGTATGTTTATATTTTACTGGACCATCGGCTTGGAGATTTGCCAAACCTTTCCACAAAAGAGACCTGATGAAGTCGTCACGAATGAAAATCGGTCATGATTCGAATCGTTCCAGGGGAAGGGACTAAAAGGGAGACAATATGCGAAAACGGCAACAGTGAGACCTATGCAGCAGATTGGGAAGGTGGACGAGGGAACTCTGTCTGGCGCCCGGGCACGCCGCCCCAACTCGGCCCTTGGAGGCGTGAGGGGGTCTTGATCACTCGGATTTATACTATTCAAGATATCCACAAAGTTTAATCCACCATGTGGGAAACTTAACCAATATCAACGGTTCTTTCTGATGGCTGCTTCGTTGTAGTAATATTAGTAAGCTTCTATAAACAGGCAGATCATACAAGCATTGTTAGATGCTCTTAGTCACAGTTGGATTGCAAGAAGGGTAGTATCATATTCCAAGTAACGAACGGAGAGGAAGACACATCCCCGGATCCTGCCCGAGTCCCGGCCAGTCCAGCCACCAGAGGGCCTTGACACGATCCTGCGAGGAGGCCTTCGAACTGACTGGAACGCAGGGAAGCGAAACGGGAGTGTCGCTTGGAAAATAAATTAATCAGTAGGAAAAAAATATAATCTGATCCAGCTCCTACATATGATTGGGCGACTGGATGTACGTTATTTTAAAGGCGAGAGGATCGACTAGAAGGGGAACAGACTCGAGGCACAGGAGCGGCCAGTTTGAGGAGTAGGAACTTCTCAAAAGGGATGAGTGAGGACCCGAAGACGAGACACCACAGGAATCAAATGGAGTCATCACGACGTGTAGCTACAAGAATACGGAGTAGGTAGAGGTACCTGAAGAACTGAAGCTACCAGGAACGAGGTGAGCTTCCAAAAGTAGGTGACGTCACCTGCTTGGAAAAGGGCAACTACCAGAGTTAGACCGCTGGCCTCGTGGAGGAAGAAACAACATTGGTTGAATAAGACATTACAGCTAACGAAATCATTGACTGTTGAGTAAATAAGTCCCTAAAGGACATCGTAATGCTGTATCGCCGGTAGACACTGTACTGATAAAGTGGCTTGCTGACTGAGTGTATCTACATCACAATACTACTGAGGAAGGCGCCGTCGAAGGTCCCGGAGCCTCTGGGCTGAGTACACTAGGGAACAGGAGGAAAAACTACTCAACATCTCCGCATATTTGCTCACCATATTGCCTCTCTAGGCGTCTCCCACTCGCCCCAGGCAACCTTTGTTTCAGCCAAGGTCGGCTCGCGAGGGCTCGTAGCGTCCCCCCTGCAACGGATCTCCAGCCTTCCAGGGGCGGACGCCAGAGCTTCGCGAGCCTCCCGTCTCCTCCGCGTCGCAGAGGTGTTGCCTGAGAGTCGTCGGCGAGAGAGCGTGGAAGAGATGTGTTGTTCTATGGGAGTTACAACTGAGGAATGGTAAAGCCGCCTGCTACCAGACCTCAGCCTAGTCCGGTCACGTGATACTGACGTCACTGATGACATTATAATGACGTCAAACATGAACCAGCACAATGAAATAACATGAGGAAAGGGGAAGGGGAAATCTCGTCAAAATGTTTACATAAACTCTTTTAGGTAATCAAAAACATATGTCACAATATCATTCTGGCTTGATATACTATGTAAATTAATACATATTAAAATACTGTATCTTTTTTTTCTTTTTTGGTGAATTCAATAAAACTTGTCAATAAATCTATGGAACAAGCCTTGAGGTATAATAGATATTTATAGTAAACATATAACAATAAAAATATACATTTACATCTTCTTCTATGTACACTTATAACCCAACAGTAAAATATGCTTTTATTGTGCACTTAACTTTAAGTATAGTAGACCATGGAAAACGGGTCATGCACTTGGCTTGAATGTAACTGATTTTGATTCTTCAAACGGAGGGGAAAGGACCGTAGTGTGGGGCTGACCAGCGGTTCGTCGTCCACGGAGGCGCTCGTCCGGGTCCGCGCTGCCTCGGGCGCCGCGGACTCGTGGACGCAGGTCCTGCTTTCGAGTAGCTTATATATGCCTGCATATATCTATGTGTGTGTTGTGTGTGTGTGTGCTTACAATTATGTATATACATATATATGTGTATGTGTTTATATATATATATATATATATATATATATATATATATATATATATATATATATATATATATATATATATACATATATATGTGTATGTGTTTATATATATATATATATATATATATATATATATATATATATATATATATATATATATATATGTGTGTGTGTGTGTGTGTGTGTGTGTGTGTGTGTGTGTGTGTGTGTGTGTGTGTTTGTGTGTAATGTATATATATATATATATATATATATATATACATATATATATATATATATATATATATATATATATATATATATATATATATATATATATATATATATATATATGTATATGTATATATATATATATATATATATATATATATATATATATATATATATATGTGTGTGTGTGTGTGTGTGTGTGTGTGTGTGTGTGTGTGTGTGTGTGTGTGTGTGTGTGTGTGTGTGTGTGTGTGTGTGTGTGTGTGTGTGTGTGTGTGTGTGTGTGTGTGTGTGTGTGTGTGTGTGTGTGTGTGTGTGTGTGTAAGTATGTATAACATTATATATACATATATATATATATATATATATATATATATATATATATATATATATATATATATATGTATGTATGTATGAATATTCATTTGTTTAAGTGTGTGTATACATATGTATGATATATATATATACATATATATATATATATATATATATATATATATATATATATATATATATATATATGTATATATATATGTATATATATATTTATATATATATGTATATGCATGTATGTATGTATGTATATGTATATATATTGCTACTATATCTTTAGAATCTGTTACGCTCCCTCACGTTTCTCGCAGTTTGTCCGCACCCTTGTGATCTCCACCGCCTGGTATCCTAACCCATCCTCCCACCATAGCTCACCGCTTCTCTATGTCTCCCTGTCACTGAGATTTCTTCTCTGTCTTTCTCCGTCTCTTTGAACCTTCTCTTTCACTGTCCTCGAGATTCTACCATTCCTTGCATTCATCAGTTATCTCTTGCTTCTCTCTTTCTGTCCAGACTGACATCACCAAAGTCTCTCACATCATTATTGTTCCTAAGTTTGCGTAACAGATCTAATTAGTTCTATCTCTTCTCTTTGATATGACCGACTGAACATACTGCTTTCATTCTGTAAATTCTTCACGTGACGTTTCAGCCCTTCCTTCATTCATTCTTTCCTTTCAGTCTTATTCCTATTTTTCTTTTTCACTCTCCGCTCTCTTTCCCCCGCCTGCTCTCAGCGTGCGGTAGGCGCTGTCCGCGACTCCGCATCAGCTTACTGCCTCTTCACACACACATCCACACGTACCTAAACTCGAACTACACTGAAGCACTGCAGATTTAACATCTGACCTTCACTGTTCTTACGCCACTGCAATAACCTCCTTGAGAAAAAAAAATCCGACTCTTCGCTTCACCGCAATGACACGATTGGCACAATTTCTCTTGGCACTATGATTATGGCACTGTAAAAGAGCGGCTCTTGGTCCCAGCGCCACACTAGCGTCCCCGAGAACTCCGGAAGTGAGACCAGAAGGCAGGCAAGAATCGTAAAGTTAAGGTAAGCTCGAGAGAACACTGTCACGTGACAGAGAATGGATTAACCGTCGTGGAAGGTTGAGAGGTTATGGGCAGTCAGGTTCCTTAACGTCTTGGGAAAGTTGTGCTGGAAAAAGTCATGGTTGGAAGGTTAATGAAGAAACGAAGAGACGGAGTGAATAAAAGCACAGCAGGCGAGAATATAGTGAGAAAACAATGACGAAAGGACGTCAGGTAAAACATATTTAGAAATATTAGATTACCAGAAATACCAATTGTATCTTTATCACAAAAAGCTTTTTATGCCAAGTGTCTTTCGGTCTGTCCAGGGTCAAGTGTTACGGCTGTTACAACTGATACGTTTATATGTCTGATATGTATCTAGACGTTGAAGGATTCACTAAAACTGTGTCACGTGGTCAAGTCAGATCGTTGTCTTCACAGTTATGAGGTCCTGTGTCAAGGGTGGGAGGGCATGAGGCTGTCAGAAGCATGAGGGTTTCAGGATTCCCGTGCGAGCGTCGTCCGTGTTACGTCATTAAAGGAGTTTAGGGTAAAACTTGTCACGCGTCGGGTTCAGTGCCATATGACACGAAGACTTGCCTGTCCTCTTGCACGTTATATAAAGTAGAGCGCACAATATAAGAGGCAGAAAAATGATCGATAGAACATGGAATAGAATGAGAGTTTCTACACCTATAGAGAAGCGGGGGTGGGGGGGGGAGCCATATGACCCCCGCAAACCCCTCAACACGCACTCCGACCCCTCCCCAGCCACGGCGACGGGCGTGGGGCGTGGGCGTGCAGCGAGGGCGTGTGAGGGGCGAGGCCACACAGCACAAGCTTGGTGTCCACCTTGGCATGCGGTGACACTCTGAGCTCACTAGTAACAACACCACTGACGTCGATGATACAACAGGAGATGAACGCAACTTCTTGAAGACAGGACACTCACACCCGACGTGACTACATGTTATACAAACACAGCAGGAAATACGTTGTTTGTGCATTTTAGTGCATTGTCTTCACGTAGAGACTAGATATACGGGCGCTAGATATAATGGGGTTAACGCCTCTTGGCACGTGACACGGTTACTGGCACCACGGTCACGCCTCTCACAACACTGTGGCACCGGAAGGCAGGCGGGCGACGCGCCCTTCCGCCCAAAATGGAATGATATCAAAGCTTATTTTCATGATGTCGCATTTGTCTCTCAACAGTTTGGAGGCAGAGCACACACACTTGCGCTGTGGACACCTCTCTTGCGAACATTGAAATAAACTTTCAAAAAGCGATTAGATTCAGGTTCAGTTGAAGTTTCATTTCACGAGGTTCAGTTTCGTTTCGTTTCTCTTGGCGTGAGGTAGTGCAAGAGCCAGTTAAGGGGCTCCGGGCGATGTCTCCTCGCGGCCACGACCCTTGCAGGAGCTTGCAGTTGCTTCTTTCTACTTCGCAATGTCACTCAGCGTCCCCATCGCGGCCCGGAAACCCCGTCTCACACCCTCACTTGTAGGTCATGCGTCCAACACACGATAAAGTTCCGCTGGACGCCCTGAGGCCAGCGTCTCGAAGGTGAAAGCCGGTGATGAGTCTCTGGCCACCGAGAGACATCGCGGATCACCAGCTCGCTCCTCAGTCCTCCAAGTGTCGATCTCTTGCTCCTGGTCGCAGATTTTCCTTCGATTCTCTTTCTCGGAGCTGCAGTCGCCGGTGTCCACGATGCTCGGGGCCTCAGTGGAAGTTCCAAGTCGGTTTCGTGAACGTTGCTATAATCTTGAATTCCTAGCTGCGGCGAAGGCTTAGCCCGCGCCGTCCTTGTAATCTCGTTCTGGCGATGTCGGTGGTGACGCTAATGCCGATGACGAAGAACATGGGAGGGGGAGGGGCTTAAAGGGGTGGGGGAAAGGGGGAGACTGTGAGGGAAGACTAGTCATATTTGGTATTTGGAGATCGCTTGAGGAAGGAAGACAGGAAGGGGAGGAGGGAGGCGGGGCGTGAACGACACGACGTTGCTTGAGAAAGGGAAGGGCGAGGAAGGAGGAAGGGGAACCAAGGAAGGACCGGGAGACCCTAGAAGGTTTCGATGCAAGTGAGAGCGGCGGCGCAGAGCGACTAGAGAGGATGCGAGGAGGAGGCCGGGTCCGGCCGAATGGTCTGCAGCTTGGACTGCTCCTTCTCCTTCGCCACCATGGAAGGTTCGGTGTTCCGTCGGCGCAGCTTTGACTTTGACGTTTTCTTAAGCATGGTGGCCTGTTCGGGTGGGTGGAGGGAGGAGGAGGGGTGGGGGAGGAGGGGAAAGGAGTGGAAGTGGACGAGGGGAAGAAGCACGAATACCGACAGAGGATGGAAAGAGAAAGGGAAAATAGTTGGCAAGGTTTAGCATCCATGATGACCCATGGAGATGAAAAAGAGGGAGGGAATAGTAATGCATTTGAACATCGTGAAATTCGGTGCGAAAAGGGGGAGGTGGATACATATACATACGTGTATGCATATATATATATATATATATATATATATATATATATATATATATATATATATATATATATTCAATGTTTATGCATTCGTGATAGATCAAAATGGGGATAGATAACAGACCAAAAAGTGAGTGAAGATGTGATTGAGAAAGAACATACAAAATCAGTTGCGGGCGATGTGTCATAACCATAAGCCATTAGTAAAGAAGAGAAAAAGACGAAAATAAATCATTTGCACAAGAAACGTGGAGCGAAAGAGGCCGAGAAACACACACAGAGAAGTAAATAAACGAGCACAAAAGGGGTCCCCGGAAGATGGCGGGAAAATGATAAAACAACAAAACAGAAACCATAAAATAATAAGAACAATATCAACAATAAGAATGATAATGGAAATAGAAAAGAAATAATGATAATAATAATAATAAATAATAGTAAAATAACAATAAATAAATAATAATAAAATAATGATAAGAATAATGATGATAATAATAATAATAATGATAACAGCAACAATAATAATAATAATAGTAATAATAACAATAATATTGGCAATGATAATGATAATAATAGTAATAATGATAATAATAATAATAATGATGATAATAATGACAATAATAATAATGATAATAATAATAATAATAATAACAATAACAATAATAATAGTAATAATAATAACAATAAAATAATGATAATAAAACACACCCGGAAGTGTGGGAAAGGGTTTGCGGGAGAAGGAGAGAAGGGGGGGCAGAGGGGGGAGGGAGGAGAACAATAAAAAGAAATATGTTATAGATCACTAAGCTCTGGATTGGCAGAACATCAAACTAACAAAATTAAATATGTCATCACAACCGAAAAGAATAACACTCAAGATGATGAAATCTGAACACCAAGAGGATAACAGCAAGAAACTGAAACGAGTAAATGCGTGGTCTTTTTTTTATAAGAGAGAGAGTTCGGTCAAGGGCTTTTTATTCTTTTTTTTTGTTGGTTTCTTATCTTTCTTTAATAAATATATAAAAAAGATCCATCCAGAAACGTTTGTGATAAACATTTCCACGGAATATTCTCTTTTTTTTGTGCGTGATGTGGAGTTTACGTGTGTTTTTTAAAGGGTATGTTATACATCTATTTTTTTCTGTACAGTGACAGAATTTGCAAACGTTATGAAGACATGGAATAAAAAAAATATATAAAAAAAGGAAGAGTAAAAAGGAAATTTGTTTTTTTTTTCGTCAAAAAGGGGGGGGGGGAGGAAACGAAGTATGCGTTTATCAAATCACAGCCTTACAAAAAAACGAAACGGGAAGTGGCAGGCAAGGGAAACAGGGCCAGAACAACGACCATTCCCCGTGACCCAAACAAGAGATGATACGAGCGGAGGGTTTTGGCGGAGTGTGGGAGCTGTTAATAGGGTGTTGTTGAGTTTTCTTTTTTCTTTTTTCTTCTCTTTGAAGGGTGAAGGGGAGCGGTGAGAGGGAAAAAAGGGTGGGGGAGGGTGGGAAGGGATGGTATTTTAAGGTGTTGGGCGAATAAGGTTTAGGTGTTGGGCGAATAAGGTTTAGGTGTTGGTCGAATAAGGTTGAGGTTGAGGGTTCACTTGTCTGTTTAGGGTTCGGGAGGGTCACCATTTGAAGCATGCAGCGAGGGTTCGGTGTTTCGCC